TAAAAAAAAAAAAAAAGAAACTGATCCCATGCACAATTGCACCAACAAGCGTAAAATACCTAGGAATAAACCTAACCAAAGATCCAAGCCTTTTTTTTCCTAAAACTGTCTACCTGGTATCTTATTAGCTCATTTCTACTGTCCTAAGAAATAAGTAAGGTAGGTATTATTGTGCCCATTTTATAAGTAAATTGTGTAACTTGCAGAAGGATTGCAGAGTAAGTAAGTAAGAAAGTTGGAAATAGAACCCAGATTTACAAATATGCTAATATGCTATTTCTGCTATTTTTATTACTCCAATCATGACTTCTGTGACATGTAACTTAAAAGATTATCCATCTTAATTACATTATTGTACAGAAAGTACTTAGTGTACTGAGAAAATAGCATCATCTCCTTTACAGAAGATATGCACTAGTGGACAAAAATCAGAGTGGACTCGATTTTAAGTGAACTACCTCAGAGAAACTAACCCATTGGTCTCTACATAAACAAAACTTGGGAGCTGTGAGTATACAGATGAAGTCTGTAGTATTTCCTCAGAACCCGTTTTTCCCAATCCTTTCCCAGTCCCTTAGCTGGTCAGCAAGTATTTACTCAATACTCACTATATTGCAGAATGGTACATACACCGAGAGCTGGTTTCTGTGAAATAGACACATGGAGAGAAGTATGGAAAACAGTCTTAAGGCATCCTCAATTCTTTTCCTGATTTGGAAGTGGGGCCTCTTCAAGAATGTATTTACTATCACAAGGGATCCATATAGCATTTGGACTCTGAGCAGATGTGGGTTTCTTTACCTTTCTTATAGCAGCTGCCAGTGATTCATCCAGCTGCTAAGAGGAAGCAGCTCCAAGTTCTCCCTGTTTTTCCTGTGCCATAAACAAGATCTAGATTTTATGCTGGATATCGATTGTTATGCTTCTTCTTAATCAGACAGCCTCTGAGTTCTTAAAGACCAAATGCAACATTTGCATCTAGGTGATCCTAAAATCTTTGGTTAAACCATTTTTAACATATTCTCAGTTTCTTCCAGGAAACTTTAGAACATCTTTCAGTCCTGGAATGTGTGAGTCCCCAATTTTAATCCAGAATGAGCAAAAACACTCAGAGGCAAAGTTCCAACAGAAAGTACTTATTAAGCCCCATTTTCTCAATTAGAATGCCACGTACTCGGCTCCTGCTTGATAGAGCTGCTACTCTATTGCTCTTCTGCAGATAACTTCCTTAGAACATCATGTACATATTTTAGCATTATCAAGAAGAAATTAGCTCTTCTGGGA